TCTTTACCCCCAAAAATATAGAAAAATTAGAAAACTATTTTAAATGAGCAGTTTTCTGAAAACAACTTTTAAACCTTTTTCAAAGAATCCATACATATAAATACAGCTAACTCATTTATAAAGTATACCAACAGTGGAATTTAAAGTACCCGTGACATCCTTCAAATACAAACAGTCAAAGAAAACATCTTTATATTAAAGAAATGTGGCATAATACACAATTTTGCCCATTTCGTTGCACAACTGGCATATTTTATTTTAAACATAGCTCTATCTTAGCGAAACAGGAAGTGACATCCAAGGGGAACTCTAAGAAAACTCTCCAGCCCTTGTTTATTGAAACAAAATTAGTTGGCCTCTTATTATTCTCTCTCTGACAGTGAGTCAAAATAATCTAAAAAAAAACGTTCCTCTCTACAGTCTGTGTTGTTAATCATTGTAGCAATGCTCTGTTTACATGCAGACATTCCTGTTTGACATCACTTCTTGTTATTTCACATACAAATATTTCAACAAATGTTCATTTCAGCAGTGTAATTTTTTATTTTTACAGTATGTTAGCAATTATAGCTTTCCAAGCATTCATATTTATTACAAAACTTAGATGTCATTGGAACTTTAAGCTGATATTCTGAAAACACAAGACCTATTATTCCTTCAAATAATGCATCTTTATGTTGAAAAATGAAGTTACAAGATACAACATAAAACCATATTTTTGTATCATCATCATCATCAACAACAACAACACAGTGTAAACTGCCACTGCTTAAAAAAATGATTCTAAACAATTATATTTGTGAGAACTGTTCAATGAACCAGAATGCCCAAATAGGAGGGCTAAAGTTTATTTTTTCTCAGTGTTGATTCTTAATAAACATACTGATTATTTTTTTCTCAGTGCTTATATGTTGATTATAATAAACATATTTAATATTTAATATTATAAACATACTGATAAAAAGCTATCAAAATTGTGAAAAATAATAATTAATCAGGTTGTGCATCACTTTAAGTGGTATAATGTATCTTTTCAGTTCAATCTCATAGTTTAAGAGTTCTCGCCCACCACAGCTGAGAATGCTAAACCAATTCCACCTTTCTTCCATTTGATTCTTCGTGCTTGTTTTTGTTGATTTGCTTCTCGTTTTGTTTCACCCCACTCGGTGCACTCTGGGAATACATTTATTGGTTTTTGTCAGAGGAATCAAAGCAGAGTTAATGCAATTCGGACCTGCATCAATATTCAGCCGTGTGGGAAGCAGGCAGCAGTGTCCGAGATGAAAGCAGTTATGAAATCGTGGCTGAGTGGGTTACGCAAACACACACACACACACGCACGCACGCACGCACGCATGCACGCACGCACACACACACACCACACCACACCACACCACACCACACCAGAGTGTATTATAAAGCACTTGATTACCAGAGCTGACGAATGTGTGTCTTTACAGTAATTGTGCAGTTAGACTTAATGTTTCTGAACAAAACTGTAACAGTCACATTATGTTYTAGTTTCTCATCGTGCATCTTTTTTTTTTACTCTGTCAGACACTGTCAGATGTTTTTGAGCTTGAACAAAATGAGTGTGCAGATAAAGTGGAGAGACAGACTGCTGGCCCTTTGGCCCTCAGTCAGCTGTAGGTATTTCACAGAGACCGGCTGATCATATGTGACCTTTTCTTATTGCATAAAAACTAAATAACTTGAATATTTAGGCAGCACACTTTATCAAACCTGTCTATCATCAAAGAAAAGCCATTATTGATATCAAACTGTTTTTTATTCATTGTGGAAAGTAAGATTGGGTCAGTTTGCCTCATGAAGGTTGGATATTAGTTTCTATAGGAACTAGATTGATGTCTATTACTGAAATGGATCTAAAAAAGCAAGTATAGTTTGTTCTGTGATAATAACCTTGAGGAGTAAATAAAATAAAAAATAACACTTTTTTAAATTAACTATTTAAAGCTTGTGAATGAATGTGTAGTTTGTGTTTCCAGAGTACGTTAATAAATGTTGCTTCTCGTGAAAACAAAGCAACGGTGTGTGATTAAAGACACTCTTTAATATTAGAAGTCAGTTTTATGCTGTTATTTATCTTCAAGAAGGTTGTTGTTGCTGATTAAACATATTATAGTCAGTGGAGCCTACACATCATCTATCAGTTTAGCTCTTTGTGTACTGCTGCATGATTGCAGCCGTAGAAAGAAGCATCGTTGTCATAATGTGTACCTTTTTTTCACTTCCTCGTATTCTGTTACTCTGCCTCATGAAGACCTAAGTGTATTGTGTAACAGAAATATGCTAATTCAACTTTTTTTTTTTTGCTGTTGTTGTTTTTATAACTTTGATAGTTTATCAGAGATGCAACAGAGTAAATTAACTGGCCTTTTGCTTGTGGTTTCTCGTTTTGTTTTACTTCTAAAAACATTTTCTTTGGCTGCGCTGATCGTGATTGACCACAGGTTCCCATTTTTTATGATTCACCAACTTTAATATATTTAAAGCTTCTGTTTTACATCTCATTTTAATGGCATATAACTCAAACAAGTAGAACATTTACAAAACTTTGTCCTCACATGTTCAGTTTCCTTTTTTGGTCTTGGACATTGGACAACTTGTGCATTAAAAGCCATAATGGAAAGGGTGGTTCTGAAACATGGTGGCTTCTCTGGAAAAAAAATACTTCCTGGTATTTTTAGTTTATATCTCTCTRTTTGCGCAATGTTACAAGATGTAYCATATTTATTCAAGTATAATACGTAMAATTAAATCCATAAAAATCATCCATAAAGTTGGGGGGTAGTACTATACGCCGATAAATATTCCTACTTATGTATTTTAACTGAAATATTGGCTTCATTCACAAAATGCCTGAGTCCGGAAATGAGACCGTGTCGTAAAAAGCGGTTGAAACGAGCTTACCTTTGATGCTCATCCGTGCTTCAGAGCGAAATAGTAACAGATCCAGGCAGGCGACATGATGTGAAAAAAAGTGGGGGGAAAGTATTCCTGCACCTTAGTAATGATAGCGAACTAATGACACTAGCGTGTGACCGGGCCGCTCCTCGAACAACAACAAACACATGTTCGTCTGTAATGGCTGCCGTCTACCGGTGTTCTGAAAAAAGTTTGTATCCCTGAAAAAACGTTTCCCCACCAAAGGGGGCGCTCGCGAGTAGGAAGTAATCTGCTTTTCCCCCACAAGATGGCCCAAATCTCATGTGAAGTCCCTGACTTTTGTGTTGGCGCATCCTGGTGGACCATGTGTAAAATGCCAGAATTCATATGATGCTGCTACAGCTGATATACTGTATATTTGTTATCAAAATACCTTTTAGTACATATGTTGTTAAAATGAAATGAACAGTCCAATGATCATTTTACTGATATATATAAAGATTGCAAAGGCTGAAAAATCTTGAAGTCTGTATGAAATTGGAGGTAGTTTGAGGGTTTTTTTTATGCTTTTTAAGCTAAAAAAAAAAGGGGGGGTTGTATTATACATGAGATCGTATTATAAATACGTTATATTTGTTTAAGTTTATTTTGTTTTATTCATCAGTACTAACTTTTAGTTACCAAATTATGCATTTATGTTGACATGGAGGATGGCTGGCTGGCTGGCTGACTGGCTGGCTGGCTGGCTGGCTGGCTGGCTGGCTGGATGGATGGATGGATGGATGGATGGATGGNATGGATGGATGGATGGATGGATGGATGGATGGATGGATGGATGGATGGATGGATGGACGGACGGACGGATGGATGGATCTGTTCATTCTTCTTCTATTCCCTGCCTGCCTTTAGAGCAAATGCTCCTCCACTGATGCTGAATAACAACCGTCAGCAGGAGCTCCACATCACAACACATCCAGCGAGAAATGAACATCGCATTTACTTTGACAACATAATTGTAATCACCAAACAAAACAGGTCTGYGGTTTAGAATTAGCATGTTGTTCCCACTTCAGTCAGATAAGAAGAAATTAAGCTAAATGCTTTGTTTGTTGTGTGCGGATGATCTTCCTAAATCGACCCCACTCCAACTAATCTGGGGAAATGCCAGGTGTAGTCTCTGTTTCCTGGAAAACAAAACGACGCCTGAAACGCTTTGTACGGATTTCACACAGGAAAGGGTGGTCGAAGTTCTTGTGAGCGGGGCAGGGCTATTTTTTTAAATAGTTCACATATAGTTCACTAATTTTGATAATGCTGAGATGGTGGTCGGAGCAGACACTGTAATCCTGGACTGGACTTTGGGGATTATGGTGGGATTGTCTGGGCACTGCACAGTGGGAGCAGATTGAAGCTGTTTTCTCATGCATGTCGTCTCAGAAAGAGCAGGGGGTGGAGGGGTTGGCGTATCATTGATCTGAAAAAAAAAAAGAATGATTGGTCTGTTTGGGTAAAATCCTGTTAGAACTTTGCATACAGTCAGCACAGATTGAGTTTCTGCAGCCAACACAAAGCTGAGCTGAACTAAACCACAATCCAGGAACATCCCAAAAATATTGGCCCCGGCAGAACAGAAGCAAGAGGAAACAGCCACATTAGCCTGCAGCACAGTGCATTCAGTATTCTAGACCAACATCAGATATACATTTTATTTCTTTTCTCTTCGATGGCTGTGTGCCAGCACTCAACAGCTGCGGTGACTTCAGGGYAACAGGCTCTCAGCGCCTCAGGCAACAGTCGCTGCCTTGTAAAGCGAAGCAGCTCATCAACATGACCGACTGTTGGTGKGTGTCCTTGAGGAAGGGCAGGGTGCAAACACGTCGCCAACTGGTTGCTACCACAAGGAAAAAAAATCCGAAAGAGTTCAACTAAAACTCATCCTGAAAAATACAGGAATTTTAAGAAGAAAATCTTMATCTTACCAAAACAAGTAAAGCATTTTTTTGTTTAATTTATTGTTTAATAAAAAAAACAGTGTATTACTTTTTTATAAATTGGTTATTAAAGACTTTGTTGTGCCAGATTTAATCACAAACTCCTACCTTGGTTGAACGTTTTCAGTGTAATCTGAGTTGTGTTTATTGTGTCATCATTCTGTGCTGCTACTCTGCAGTGTCAGCAAATCGTTTTACAAATCTGATTTTTTATTTTTACAAATGGAAGCGCAAATTGGTGCTGGTGTGCGTGAAAAGAGTTACGAGCGTCTGTCTGTCTTATTAGAAGTATTTGCACTCGTTGCACAGCCTGCGAAAGGATACGGCTTTCCTCCTCACTACCACATCACACAGCCCCGCTCACTTCTTCTTCCCGTCTGCGCCTCTTCGCATCTTGTTTTCTAGCGTTTTGGAGGAAGTGTGACCTCCAGGGGAGAGAGGAGCCGTGTGCGTCGAAGGTCCTCATAAAGATCTGGTGGTTACAGGGCGCAGATGAGTCCACCCACTTGTCTCTAAAACACTAAAAAGGACAAAAACAGTRCATACTACATGGACACCCACATGCTTAAAGGTTAGCAAATGGAGAAACAAAACTGTGGTTCTCGTARTTAACTTTGTCTTCTCCTCACATCTAGCAACTGCATGCGTCACAGCTACTGTAAAACAAACACCTATTATAGCCGAGAGCTGTGACTCAACCATCCCCCAGTAAGCCCAGCCAAAGCCCTGGAAACACTGGTTTTAASTGGCGTGTCTCGGCCTGCCAGACACAAAGCCTGCAGGCTCAGGGGAAAAACAAGTCACCACCTTCTTGACTCAACAGGGTCCAAAGAAACGTCTACTTTCTGCCTTTTTTACTCCCATTTTCTCTCTAATTTTTTTGTGAAACATTGCAAAGTTCTTCCAATAAACTTGCTTTCATTAATAGTTTGGAGTCTAATAGAAGGATAAGTTCATGATACCATAAAACTTTTAAGAGTAGATTCTTTGCTCTCAGTCTGATCGCTCCATGTTGGAAACATTAGCTCAAATCTCTTAAACTCCTTGCTGTGTTTTTTTTCTTCACAGCAAAACTTTCTCACAGTTTTTTCTCCTCCTCTCCCTCTGTGTTGTGTTTTTCTCCCCCACATGCAGCTTCCTGGACGTGCAGCTCGCGCGATTGGTCGCAGGAGACAGGAAAGTCGACCAATGGGAACGCAGTTACCAGGCAGGCTGCTGCCTTGTTCCGAGGCAGCTGGAGGCCCCTACAGCTGTTCCATTGAAAAGCAGCAGGAGATAATAACATGGGCCCCTTACCACACACACACACACACACACACACACACACACACACACACACACACACACACACACACAC